TATCCAGGTACAACACAAACAGGATAGGAGACAGGACGAAGCCTTGGCGGAGACCAGTGCCAAGGTTGAAGTGTTTCATTTTAACGCCATTTGCTCTGACGCAGCACCTACAATCATAGTTCAGTAATTGGATGGCCAGTTGCAATTTACCATCCACCTCGTAGGTTCGCAAGGTTCTGCGCACTCTGTTGCGCGGGATCTGGTCATAGGCTTTCTCTGTGTTAACAAAGCACATGTACACGGGATGGCCGAACTCACACGACATCTCAACGATCTGGAGTAGGGCAGATGTATAGTCAGAGATGCTTAGACTGGACTGGAAGCCACACTGCTTTTCTTGCATTTTGTAGTCAACAATTTGCAAGAAGAGCATTTCGTGGCATCTCCTCTTTAGCACATTTCTGTATTCTATATCCTGGAAGGTCAATAAGATATTGCTCTGATAATTGGGGAAGTTCTTGTCATCTCCCTTCTTGAACAGATGTAGTGCAATCCTGTTCTCTACTCAACTCTCCTCAACGTAGCAGGCAAGAGCAATGAGGGACTAATTTCCTCAGCCTTTCCTATTTTCAAGCTTTCCGCAGCTTGTGTGATTTCATCTACAGAAGTAATATAATCTGCTCCCAGCTGCTGTGTAGGCGAGTCTTCCTGTTGTTGCTCCGGGTTAAGGAGTTCCTCAAAATACTCTCTCCATTGCCGAAGAATGTCATCATCGTTGGTAGGAGGGTGTTCTGACCTTTCAAAACTCTTAGACTGCCGAGCGGATGCTCTACCAGAACACCTTGTTTGCCGTGTGGCAATTCGATTCGAACACCTCACCGAACTTCTCACAGGAATCAGCTTTGGCTCTCGCAATTGCTTTCGGCGCCACCTTGCTTGTTTCGACATATCGCGTGCGAGTTGGATGTTCTTTGTTTCCAAGCCATTTCTTGAATGCAGCCTTATTCTCTTTAACCACAACTGGTATCACTCGAGTCCACCTGGAATTTCTTTTCTGGCCTCCATGCCACATGTGCATTAAGTAACAGCCTCGAGTATGCCGCTCTTAAAGAACTGCCACTCGGTTTCAATACCAGTTGCCATCACCGGGATTTGTTCAAACCGTCGGGTTTGCAAATTTCGCTCTCGTGTTCACCGAAGAAAACGTTTCCCATTTGGTTCAGTGGTTGCTTCTGCCACTAGATCTTCGTGTGGCACTCCATTTCTCACAGCCTAGCGTGACAACTACAAAGTGTGATCGGTTGACAGTTCTGTGCCTCTCTTTAAACGAACATTCATTATTCACCGTCGGTCGCCAATTTGAAGCGAAATATCGTCGTCGATGCAGCTCTTGATTCAGGGTAGTCGGGTAATCACTGAATGCGAACTAAACATTATAAGCAACATGACACAAGTTAATGTATTGTCATATGTATTTTAATTTTATATATTGGCGACTCAGAAGGATGAGCACTTGACCGATATTTTAGTTTAATACTAGCGGCTTGATCCTTTGTGAAGTATGTTTGAGTAATGGCCTCTGATAGTCTTAAGGTACTACAGGCCCATTAGAACCTCAACTCACTATACTTTGTTGATGCTTTAGTGCTATAGTAGTACACCAAAAATAATTTTCAGGTGTATGGATAAAATACGGCAATCCGCGTACGCTGAAATCGCTGATCACTTAGAAATCAACCAGGCACTTTTACACCTACGAAAAGGGGACATCACTTCGGTGAGCGCTAAAGGAGTGTTTCGTGTTCTACGTTCGGATTTAGGCTGTGGAGCTTCTGAAGATGTGCGAAAAGAAAGAAAGCAAGGTGACGCATGTGGCAGCCAACAACCTGTCATTCGTATATTTCTTGGTAAAGCTTTACAATGCTTTAAACGCGTATATAATATGAGGGTTCAAAGCTAATTTCGAGGTAACGTATGGCCATTATACCTCCAAGGAGTGCCACTACTGAAACCCTACCGCGTCT